CGCTTCATCAGTAAGTACATGTACATGTAATTATTATACATTTTATTTTATTTTCTTTTTCATGCAGTATCTCAAGTTTAGACAGAAGTATCATAGAGAAGTGGTTGGATATTTGAGCAAAAGAGCACAGATTGGTAAGAATAGTTTAAGATACATATTGATGCCCATATGCTGTGTAGAAAGTTTGAGCTGATTCCAATTAAAGATTTTTCAAGTTACGGCCATTTTAAAAAATGGCAGATTCTAAAAAATTCCTGTACTATAGCTCATGGTTTTTTTCGAAAAATGGCTCAGAAATGACCCCCAATTTTTATTACATTTTTTGATGCATATTGATGTCCTTAAGCTATGTAAAAAGTTTGAGCTGATTCCGATAAAAAATTTTCAAGTTACGGCCATTTTAAGAAAATGCAAAAATTCTGAAAAATACCCTGTACTATAGCCCATGGTTTTTTCAAAAAATGGCTCCAAAATGACCCCAAATTTTTATTACATTTTCTGATACATATTGATGTCATAATGCTGTGTAGAAGGTTTGAGCTGGTTCCAACTTCAATTTTTTGAGTTACAGCCATTTTAAAAAATTAGCCAATTTCTGAAAAAATCTCTGTACTATAGCCCATGGTTTTTTTCAAAAAATGGCTCCAAAATGATCCCCAATTTTTATTACATTTTTTGATGCATATTGATGTCCTTATGCTGTGTAGAAAGTTTGAGCTGATTCGGATAAAAATTTTTTGAGTTATGGCCACTTTAAAAAATTAGCCCATTTCTGAAAAAATCCCTGTACTATAGCCCATGGTTTTTTCCGAAAAATGGCTCCGAAATGACCCCCAATTTTTATTACATTTTTAAAATGCATATTGATGTCCTTATGCTCTGTAAAAAGTTTGAGCTGATTCCGACAAAAATTTTCGAGTTATGACCATTTTAAAAATTGAGGCTATATTTCTCACATACATTGTATGTCTAGTGTATTGCTTGTACTTAATACACACTACATGTACATGTATTTTAATAATTTCATTATTTATTGTGTATCTACTTGTATTTCTCTAACAGAGCAACGTTACTATGCTCAGCTTGGTAAAGTAGTCCGTCAAACTCAAGCAGCACTCTCTGAACTACACCAGCAAGAAGTGAGAATGAAACATAAAAATAAATAAATACATGTACATGTATATATGTGAATCTGCCCATTAAATGGAAGCATCTGCTACTATATAGAGTGTCCATTAATAGATGTTCTACTTTTTTCTCCTCTTCTTTTTGCTATTTCTCCCTCTCTTTCTCTCTTTTTTTTCTCTTTCACTCTCCCTCTCTTTTAGGAGTGTCTTCCATTATATGATGTCTTTAGGACGTCACTGGATCAGGACAACAGATATGCTATGAACTGCAACACGACATTCAACCTACAGACTGGACACAAAGTCCTTGAAGTAAGCCAATTCTAATTGAATATTAATTACACTTATACATGTACAGTACATTGTACTATACTACTATATGTTCATGAGCGTTTAAATTTTTATTCCTGAAACAATATACTTTTATACTCTCTTTCTCTCTCTCTTTAGTATCTAGAGGGTAAGATACAAGAGTGTGAGAAGATGAGAAAAGATCTAATGCACAATTGGGTCAAGGAAAGAAAGAAACTGGTCAGCGATTGATTCTTCAATTACATACATTGTACATGTACATGCATATGTCACTCTACGTGTACCTTTTTGCTATCTTCATTCTTCATGATTCTCTTCTCATTATACATTATGTATAGCTTGATGCCAAGAGCTCAATGAAAAGTGCCAAAGCCAAATACATATTTTACGGTCAGGAACTAGCCAGGGTAAGCCACGCCCATTCAATAACAAGTTGCCATGACAACTACATGTACATGTATAGGCTAAGAACCAGCTTGCAGCTGATCCTTATGGTAAACAAGCCGACAGACGCAAGAAAGAAGTTAGTGACTTAGAAACAAAGGTGAGAAAGTTTGTACACAACACATGTACACGTACACGTACATGTAGATTCGTGATGTATTTTTATGTCTTTCGTCATTGCTATGGTAATTATATTATCAGTCATAAAGTGATTGGAATTGGGTGTGTGGTGGTGTACATGCTTATATGTACATGAATCATTAATACGTCATTACTGTTTAATTACATGGATAATATCATTACTGTGTCATTATATTGTGTATATTTACTACTGTAATGTAATTGTAGATCTGTTTTTCTTTATTTTTCTCCTACAATGTACACAATTACTAGCTATATTCCTTCTGTATTATTATAATGTAAATCCACTCTTAGATACGTATTTTAAATTTTTATTCATCAGCCTTTTATCTTTCTCTCTCTCTCTCATTCTCTCATATAGTTTCAAGACTCAGAGCAGAATTACAAGTTATCGATAGCTCACTGCAATGACTGCCAGTACCAGGTTCATGCCACAGCACAGAAGTCAATCCTCTGTGCTTTCAGGAGAATAATTGTTGGATTTGATACTACACTTAAAGCAGTAAGTATGGGAACGAGGTCCCCACAGTATAAGTTTATGTACAGTGGAATGGGAATGAGTTTATGAAAGTATGGGAATGGGTTTAGAGAGTATGGGAATGGGTTTATGAGAGTATGGGAATGAGTTTATGAGGGTATGGGAATGAGATTTATTCATTCATTTTTAGGGTCTTGAGAGTTACTTTCAGTTACAATACAATTTCTTCAAGACACTCCCCAACCCGGTAAGCCATCACACCACAACCACATGATTCATACATGCACATATACATATCTCTTTCTCTGCAGCTCCTGGAGAGTATTGATGAGACTAGAGATTATGAAGCCGGTTCAGAGTTCCTGTCCTTCATTGAGAAGAGGCCCCACGTCTCTGAAGAACTTGAGGATTATCACTTTGAAGAATTCGATCCTGAATCAGAGTAAGAGCCTTCTACATTTTATCTACATTTTTGATACATGTACATGTACAGTTGGCAACTGTAAAATTTATTTAAAAATCTAATTTTGATTGGAATCTACACTAACTTTCTACGCAACATAACATGTACTTATATGCATCAGAAAATTTAAAAAAATCTCTCCTAGTGATTTTTGGCATTATTTACATTTTACTTAACTGGTATATATTTCAGTATACTCCAGTATACTCTAGTAATTTATATTCAATATATTCACAGGGTTTGGGATTCTGGTGAAGACCCTGCCGATCCGACGTTGGGTTCCAGCCAGACCTCGGATGGTTTTAAAGGTCCCCAAAGGTCCCTCAGCCCAACAGAGTATAAGCCGCTAATAGCTGCAGCTCTCCCAATGATACGAATGGAGTCTCCAACTCCGAAACAGTCTCGGCCTAAGAGTGTTGTTAATATTGATATGGCTTCACTTGAGAATTCAAGCAGTAAAACTAATTTACAAAGGAGAAGTAAGTCTATATTTTTTACTTGTACATGTACATGTACATGTAAAAATACACATGTATTCAATGCATTTAACTAAAAATGTATAATATATTTAACTATAAAAAGGCCACAGTAGCAAAGCGAAATTTGTAGTTAATAAGTAGCAATTTTTTTAACTTAGTAATGGACATAAAAATTATAGCTAATATTTTTATAATTTTTTTCATATTTTTAGTTGCTTTATTTTTACTGTAATTTATTTATTAAGCATGTAATTAATTTTATTTTCTCTTACAGATAGTGAGATATTTATTTTATTTTATAGATAGTGAGAAAGGGAAGGACTATCACTCCATCACAGGATCCCCATACTCCAGTGGTAGATCAGTCACTGATGATGTTGTACTATCCAAAGTAGCTCGTACCCACACCTTCAAGAGACTGAGAACCCCATCAAGATGCAGAGGCTGTGATACTTATGTGTACTTCCATGGCTTCGAATGTGAAATTGTGAGAATATATACATGTAATGTACATTATGTACATTACATGTACTTATTATATTGTTAGTTCTAGAAATAAATTTTGGGAAAATTTAATCCATCTAAAATAGTAGAATTAGGCTAAAATTATGAGAAGCTAAAATTTGAAATATGGGAGACTGTACTTAAACTTTGAACAGTGCATGCTTATTATTAATTATTATATTTTTTCATTTTTTCTCTTTCTCTAGTGTGGTTTATCTTGTCATAGAAAGTGTTCTTCTACACTAGCCATTCGTTGTGATACTAAGGTATCACTAATATACATGTATACATGTACTTACATTTTTGTTTTTTTACTAGAAATTGCCTCGTAAGATGAATACTTTTGGTGTTGATTTCCTTGAGCATCTAAAAGCAACCAAGAGACACATACCAATAATAGTAACAAAATGTATCAATGAGATTGATGAAAGAGGTAAGCATATGAAGAGTTTAGATATCACATCTTTGTACATTACAGCATAAAAATTGTATGGATATCTATTTGTGTAGAGTCATTTAATAAATTCATGCATGACCCCAATATACAGGGATTTTTATAACTGAAAAAAATATATGTAATTTTAAAAATTGTTCATTAAGCTGTTTGGTTGTTTAATGTACATGTACATGTATGTAGTATTTATTTATTTTTTATTCATTTTATTTATTTATTTTTTATTCCATATTATATATTTATTTATTTTTATTCCATTAGGTCTCAATACTCAAGGACTCTACCGCATATCGAGTGCTAAGAGTAAAATGGAGAAACTCTGTCAGTTGTTTGAAGCTGGTTCTGAGAGGGTTGATCTCTCCGACCTACCACCTCACCTCATCAGCTCCTGTCTTAAACTATACTTCAGACAAGTAAGAAATACATGAACATGTACATGTAAATAATTAAATATGCATGTACATATACTGTATAGTGGAATTTTGGAGGAAGTTAAATTTGGCGGATGGCTCAAAATGGTGGATTTTATTTTGGCAAATGGCTATCAATAATGCCAAATTCACCAAATTAAATTTTCTCCAAAATTTCCTGCTACATGTATATGGTAATTGCAGTGTACATGTACATGTATGGATATGTAACATTGTATATTACTAAAGTTATGTTTATGTAAAATTCTTTTTTTATTTTCTTATTTTAGCTTCCAGAGCCTCTTCTCACATTCTCACTCTATCAAGAGTTTCTCTCATTTGCCAAGGTAACCAGTACAACCACACCCATTTTATTGATCACACCCATTTTATTGATCACACCCATTTTATTGACCACACCCTTTTAGGAAGCTACGAGGTATCTGCCTTGTGATCTAAGCGCTGCTACTAACGACAAGGAAATGAAAGCTAGGGAATTACTGAAGAGATTGAGAGAGCTGATATACAGACTACCTGAGCAAAACCAACTGACACTCGCTAGACTAATGTACCATTTACACAGGTAAGGGAATTCAAGAACAATTTCTGTTTGAAATTAGAACAAATTTGGAATATATAGTACTTATACACAAGTATTCTCTCTTAATAATAATGATTAATAATGATTAGATACTGTACATGTATATACAAAATACAAGCAGCTTATTTTATAGAAATATCCACTAATTTAACACTTAAAATTATAGTGTAATAATAATAGCTGTGTTTGCTTCATTGTTTCCTGTTACCATTAAAGTCTCTCTGTACTACTCACCACTTGTTTCCTTTCTTCATACAGAGTTAGTAGTCCAGAGCATGTCAAAACTAACTGTATGCCTCCCAGTAATATTGGTATTGTGTTTGGACCTAATCTACTGCAACAAAGGTAAGAACACTAGAAATATTTTTGTACATGTAGCCTCTCTTAATGGACACTCTCTATAGTGTACACCTCCATTTAACAGACAGTACCTAGTGTACCAATTACATTCCTTACTATATAAAATAACCTCCACATAAAGGACACCTCTGTATAACAGAGACGCTTTACTGTAGTACCAAAGTGTCCATTATATAGGGGCCCCATTCTAATATATGTACATGTACATATACTCTGCCTTTCTTTCTTTTATAGAGAGATGATACCTTCACTTGAATTACTAGCCAACATGAGCTATCAAGCAAAAGTTGTAGAAATAATGGCTGCTCATGTTCATGATGTAAGACCACTTACTTTATTTTAATTATAAATATTTATTTATTTATTTATTTACTTGTTTGTTGTTGTTAGATATTTAATGTCAGTGAGGAGGAGTTGAAACTATTAGAGAATGAGTCGATTGAAGACGAAGGAAATGAGAGATTCGTTGGAGAAGAAGATGTACCACACACTCAAAGCAAAGCACGTAAGTTTAGAAAATACATTTTTTCAGCAATTGGCCTATTTTTAAAATGACCATAACTTGAAAAATTTAAGTCAGAATTGGCTCAAACTTTTTACAGAGCGTAAGGACATCAATATGTATCAGAAAATAGAATAAAAATTGGGGGTGATTTTTTTAGCCATTTTTGGAAAAAAGCATGGGCTATAGTACAGAGTATTTTTCAGAATTTTGGCGTTTTCTTAAAATGGCCGTAACTCAAAAAATTGAAGTCGGAATTGGCTCAAACTTTTTACACAGCATAAGGATGTCAATATGTATTAGAAAATGTAATAAAAATTGGGAGTGATTTTTTAGCCATTTTTTGGAAAAATCCATGGGCTGTAGTAGAGGGATTTTTTAGAATTTTGGCGTTTTATAAAATTAGCCGTAACTCAAAAAATTGAAGTTAGAATCAGCTCAAACTTTTACAGTTGACGTCATTACATATTATTATTATTATTATTATTATCATTATTATTATCATTATTATTATTATAGTCACTATTGATGATGATGATAACAAGAGATTATCACTAACACCTTTCTCCACTCCACCGGAACAGTAAGTGGGTGTGACTGAGGGTGTGGTTACATGTGTACTTGTAGGCGAAGACATAACATGGAGGAACTACATGAAGTTGCTAAAGAATTCGATCCACATCATCTTGGAACAGGAGGAGGAGGGGCAGGAAGAACAAG